AGTTTTACAGTTTAGATTTTATTAATGAGAATGTTAATGACACTATCACAATAGAGTAAACATATTTGTTTTTAAAGTCGGCTAGCTATAGGAAATTGTATTCGTTACATATTGTTCAGATATATTATCTATAAACATGTTTATGTGACAAACAAATTTATATATTCTAAACCAATAACCTATAACACAATTATTGCTTAAATCTTTGACCTTTTCTGATCTAAAAATAAAACATTGGCTATTTTCAGCATAGACTAATTTATATATAGACATTGAAAAAAATAACCATATAGGCCTCAATGGAGTTTCATATTAATTTCCAGTTTCAAATTCTAACAAATAGAAGATATCTGCTTTTCTAATGGCCTCATTAATTCTGTATGCATTAAAATCTATAAATGAGCTCCGACTTAATTCTCCATTTTAAGGGAAAATTCCAATAAAACACTACACAATCTTCCAACATGGTTCCAAGTTTTCATACAATGAAGGTAAAATCTCAACCATTACTACTCTGGCGCTGACGAATTTGTAAACATTAGACAGGTGTTCAGTTTAAACAGGTTCAATATGATCTTCTGATAAATCTGGGTCTATATCTGTCGTCTCAAATTTCAATGAAAATAACTTTTTGATAGGGGATATAAATATCATAGATTAGTGTGAACTTTACAAATATAGAGATTTATTGAGAAAGTATGATTGCAGGTATTTAATCAAAAGAGGTTTGTATCATCCATATTTGTATGGTAATGGTGGTAATCAAGCTAACAAATTTAATAAATGTCCTTTAAATATGTCTCCTTGGCTTAGTAGACTTACTGATACGGTTATAATTATACTGCTGGTCACTGTCATGTATTTTTAGGGATGAAGAAAGATTTCCTAATTTATATTATAATGAAATATTCCTTTCGTTTTTTTCTGCCTAGTTTGTTGTTGGTATTGCAAAAAATAATGTAATCAGCAGGTTAAATCCTTTGAGCTTGCCTTCAGTAACTGAGAGCATTCTGTAATACAGTATAATGCGTTTGTTTTACACACCACTATTTTAAAGTTAAGTGCTTTTCATGCACTAGTATTTATTTACGTTATTCTATGTAAGGTTTGTTAATCTTCTCACTGAGATCTAAAAAAGGGAGAGGGTTGAGATGTCAAAAAGTTAGTTTCCCCCCGCTTCATTTCATGTACCTGTCCCAAGTGGTCCGGTGACACAGTTATCGTCCTTTGATTTTCGTTGTCTACAAATAGAGTCCCTAGTGTGGAAAATGTATAACTTGCAATTTTTTTTTCATATACCTTCCAAATTTATTTCTTATTATGTTATGCAAAAAAAAGTAAGTAGGGGGTGAAATTACATGTAAAAAAAAATTTGGTCCAGTTTGAAAAGGCCAAATATTAGTATGTCTGAAGCTGTCAAACTTAATTACAGACCCCTTAATATAAAATTGTCCATATTTTGAGTAAGAGCCAATAGACTTTTCTATAATTTTGATATAATTTGTCTCAAAAGTAGTACACTACACTGTAAAAATCCTTTTTGGATAGAGCAGGTGCGATTTTTTTTAATTTGCGTTTTTTGTCTAAAAGAAATAACTGTGTTCTCGGGCCTAAGAGATGAATTCAGTAAATGTAGATTCTGTACTTTGGCAACTTCCCCGAATGATTTGAGGGTATCAACTTGTCAAACTGAATGAAAGAAAAGGATTTTCATCTTTATTTAATAGAAATTCTGTAAAAATGTCCAATTTTAGTATTATATGGCTGAAATGAGCATTTTAAAGCCATTTCAAGTTTTATGCCTGAGGGGAAAGCTGAATTTTTATCTGACAGGTTTTCATGTTTTGATATTTGTGTTTCTAGGCTTAATTCAAGTTTCTATAATCATTTGTGAACCCTGAATCTAGAGAAAAGTAGATTATCACAGAAAAAATGTGCAAAATGTGTTGTATTTATGGTCCTGGTCTAACGGCCTGTTTGAAGGAAGTGAAATGTAAGGAGCTATGTAGATCTATCATAAAGAGTTCACTAAGTCTGTACTTAAAGCACTTTGCAACGATTGTTGTAACTGTTTCCTTTCATAAGACACCTTTTTAGGCTCATATAAATTTGACTTTTGAAGAATTGTTATAAATATGATACACCAAATGAGTGTTTAGCTGCTTTAAAGACATGCTCCTGTCCACTATATATTAAGGCATTTGAAATTTTTTGCAATATTTAAATTTTGTAGGCCCAAATCTTGATTGTTGAAATTGTTTGATTTAAACGTCAAAAATAAACACCCAAAGTTCAAATTAAAGAATGACCATATGGTCTTTAATAAGATTCTATTGACATGAAACTTGGTAAACTGTCTTATAATTCCCTAATCTTAGATCATGCCAAGTTTTATTAAAATTGGTAAAGTCTTTCAATCCTATTATGTCCGGGGACACACTTATCGTTCTTTGATTTTCGTTGTCTGCAAATAGTCCCTAGTGTGGACAGTGAATAACTTGCAAACTTTTTTCATATACCTTCCAAATTTATTTCTTTATATTTTATGCAAAAAATAGTAGGTACGGGAGTGAAATTACATGTAAAAAAAATTTGGGTCATGAATTTTTAGGTAAAGTAGTGATTTGGTCCAGTTTGAAAAGTTAAAAATTAGTATGTCTGAAGCTGTCAAACTGAATTACAGACCTCTTTAACATAAAATTGTCCATATTTTGAGTTAGAGCCAATAGACTTTTCTATAATTTTGATATAATTTGTCCCAAAAGTAGTACTCTACACTAAAAATCTTTTTTGAATAGAGCAGTTGCGATTTTTTTAATTTGCGTTTTTTGTCTAAAAGAAATGCACAACGAAATAACTGTGTTCTCGGACCATGTCAGGAATCCTGTCAGTAGTTGTAGAATGTAATATCTTTATATCTTTCATTATTTGGAGAATTGAGTATTACTAGAAGACTCATAAATTAAAAAAATGACATACTGTACGGACACATGTCTATTGTTAAAGACTGTATGTTGTCTGTAGATTAAATATATGTAATTGAATGATTAAAAATTTATAACAAGAGGCTGCCAGATTGACAGCAAACCGGATTTTCCTGCATAAAATTACATTTAAAAAATAAATGAATTTTGTAGGGTTGAGAAAAGGAAAGGCCAACACATCTTAATTTGAAAAGATTTCAAGTTATTGCACGGACAACGCTCTAGGTATTACTTTTCGCTACTTAAAGGTGTCTCAACTCAACAACGATAAAAGCTAAAATCGTGAAAATCGATCCTTGACCTTCATTGAGTCTCAGGAAACAGCATAAAAATTTATCTAAACTTGAAACGATTTCGTCAAAGCGTTTTCAAGTTATTGCATGGACACTGTTTGGAAGCCGATAGCCCTCCCGCCCGCCGTATATCACCAAATTAATAACCGATATTTTCCTTTGGAAATCCGGTTAAAAATTAAAAAAAATTATTCTTGAAGCGCACTGGAGTTGAGACATTTAAAAAACTGCCTAGTTTTTGACAACTGAATTCCATAAACTCTAGAAGGACAAAAGTGAAAATCGTCGAAAAGTTATTATGTAATTATACAAATATTTTTTTCAGGAAGAAGTTTATGAATTCATGCTGAGTTTATTTTTAATAACATTTTTAGTTGGGAAGCTATTGTGTGATGAACTTAAAAACAGTTTGTTTCCACATACATTTGTTTATAGAATTGTGGTAAAACATTAAGTTCAATTAATAGGAAGTTAACTATTTGTCACATCAACGTTACAATACTTCCATAAACCAATATTCTTTATAATTTGGTACATTTTGAAGTAAGTCAATCAAGGCATACTTGAGCTAATGTGCATTATGTCAAAAATTGCAGCTTTTAAAAGATAAAACACTGGAATGACACAAAATAAATAGTAAAAAAGTTAAATATTTTCAGACCAGCATGAAGGTTGAATCCGAGATTTTGTTAAATTAAGTCTATAATTGAATTGAAGAATAGAATATATCTTGGTAAGGTTTAGTCATCCCTTCTGAGTTGCAAGTTTATTTTCGACTTATGAGTTTGAATGTCCCTTTGGTATCTTTCGCCCCCCTTTTCTAAAGTTTTTAGAACTATCGTACGTCTTTCTCTCGTACTCTTTTTCTCGAATTTGTACTTATCATGAGGAACACAATGGTACCACATTTGGAGCAGGATCTGCTTACCCTTCCAGAGCACATGTGATCACCCTAGGTTTTAAGTTGTTGTCTTTGGATTTTAATGAAGTGCTGTGTAGACTTTTCATCGTTTTTCCAATTTTTACATGATTTTGTCTGTCTCTTTTCAACTGATCAGTTTCAATTCTTCCTTTGGTTTCTACCTCATCTTGTTTCCCTTATGTTTGACAAATATATACCAGCAATGCCATATCATATCAGTTTCTAGCTTATAACATGACAAATATATACCAGCAATGCCATATCATATCAGTTTCTACCTTCTCAAGTGATAACATGACAAATATATACCAGCAATGCCATATCATATCAGTTTCTACCTTCTCAAATGATAACATGACAAATATATACCAGCAATGCCATATCATATCAGTTTCTAGCTTCTCAAGTGATAACATTACAAATACAAACAAGTAATGCCCTATATATATTAACTTCCAGCTTCTCAAGTAATAACTTGACTAATGCATACCAGCAATGCATTCTAACATGAGAAACACAAAAGTGTATTTTATAGAAGACATCAACACCATTTGCACAATATGAAATGGTAGGGAAACAGACTTGTCAATTTTATTGTTATTTCCTTTGACTGATTCAATGTAGACAAGAACTATCTTTTGTCTTTCTATTTCATAACTGTTTGGACTTCATACATTGACCTCTAGAAGCCTCTCTTTCTGTTTTTTCTATTGGCTATTTTCTCATCCCTATTTCCCTGCATTCAAATCTTTTCAAATCTTAAATATTAAGCTATAAGTTAGCAGGAATTAAAGACGTAAATCAAGTTTTCATTTTATTGCTGAATTTTAAATTAAATTAAATTATATTCATACACATTCAATAAAATATCACTACATATATTTGTGCACTAATCCATCAAGATAAATCAATTATTTCTATAAGTTATGGAATTCCTTTTAAAATCTAACACAGATACACAATAACAGCAAGGACAAAACAAAACAAATCTAATATATAACAGTATGAATATACAGCTATGTAATAACCTTATGGAGAGCTATATGATAGCATGGAAAAACAGCTATGTAATAACCTTATGGAGAGCTATATGATAGCATGGAAAAACAGCTATGTAAGAACAGCATGGACATAACAAATAGGTTTATCACCAACACAACAGATATCACAAATGTAGATATAAAGTTGGATTTTCTTATGACTAAGGTTATGGAAACTATTGTTCAAATCTAGAGCGATAAAGCAGGTTTTAATTTTAGAGGTATGAAATACTTTTAGCTTTGCACAAAATACTGGATACATTTATAGATTTGGAGATATTATTGTAGAGCAAACTTAAATCCCTGTAGAACATAAGTTCGGCTGCAATTATCACTGTTATTGCATGCAGTAAAACATCACATTTTATATTAAGAGTTGACATCTTCGTAATCATCATGCCATTTTAAAGTTTTTCCATACAATAAAAGGGTTATTGGATGAATTTTGGTAAATAATATCACTGGTCAAAAATTGACTGCACTTGTCACTTACTGAAATAGAATACTTTACTTAGGACAATATGCACCAATATTTATGCAATAACCAAAACCGTATGTATTTATTTAGTTATCCCTCTTTCTTGTTTAATAAAGTTTATTTTTCAGTACAAATTACTAGTTATATGATGACCACATGATAAACTTGCTGTTATATATAGTTCAGCATGGGTAACTTGTTAATGCATCAGAATAAACCTGCTGATATATATAGTTCAGCATGGGTAACTTGTTAATGCATCAGAATAAACCTGCTGATATATATAGTTCAGCATGGGTAACTTGTTAATGCATCAGAATAAACCTGCTGATATATATAGTTCAGAATGGGTAACTTGTTAATGTATCAGAATAAACTTTCTGATATATATAGTTCAGCATGGGTAACTTGTTAATGCATCAGAATAAATTTGCTGTTATATATGCAAGTAAAGAATGGGTAACTCATTAATACAAATATGAAATTTGAGAATTTTCTCACAACGAATTTGACAATAAACACATATAATATAAATATATTGGAAACATTTCAAATCTGAATTAAAATTTTTTGAATTTAAAAGATTTATATTGAACAAATTATCACACAGTCATTCTAAAGACAGTAGATTCAAAAAATGATATTTAATATCATGTACTAAGTTACCCTTTCAAACAATAATACAACATAAGTCATTCATACATAAAATGACAATGAAATAAATTAAAACAATATTTACACTTCTGTACAATTTTATCTTCCACTCCCAACCTGTAAACCATGGCTCTATTTACAAGGTTTTTGGGAAAGCTGCTTATTCATGCAAGAATTGATGTAGGGAAGGACAGAAATGTAATTAATTTCATTGATTCATTTGAAGAACTGATCTATTGAAACCATACTGCATCTAACCATTGTTGAAGAATTTATTTTAAATGTTTCAAAGTAGCTATATAGGACAACACATACACAATGCATTAATTCAAAATTTTCTGATACATACAAATATAATAGTTATCATAATTACGTGTATATCATAATATCGACATTATAATAGCTATATATACTCTTTCTGTACCGTGGGGTAATGGTTCCAGCTATATTAAACCTTTGATTTCTCCACACGCAATTGTTAAAAAGGACTTGTTACAATGCCAACAAAAGATTTTCGATTTTATCCTTTACATAAAATTATATTTAACATTTATAGAACAAAAGATCAAGCAAATCCGTAATAATAACAGTAACAGTAATAAGTACATATTAATAATCACATCACCTATAGTTTTTTCCTCATTGTGCGAAGTTTAGAAATGATATATATAGTATTTACTGTCAGAGTTGAATTTGAACGTTCACAACAGTGACATTTGTCCATTAAATCCTAGGCCTGTCTTATTGAGAGTCAATATAAAAGAATAGAAGTAACCTGAATGAAAACTGGTACCCTCTAATTCACCATCAAGAAGTATCTTCTCTCTTTCACGACATTGGAACATGACTCATGGACAGAATGGGAGATAGATATACCAGTACAGAGTATTTTCAACAAGCATTCTGAGAGTATTGCATGGCAATACATAGTCCCCTACCAGGTAAAAATTCATTTTACTGGAACAAAATGCTAACTTGTTCTATAACTTGTCATGGTGTAAACAAAAAGTAAATATCATGTCAATATCTTCAAGCATGACTAAAAACAGTGTGGAAAACTGATTATATGAGTGAAAAAAACATTAGATATGATTAATAGTTCTCTAAAATTAGATATGATGTAATACAGTGTATATCTATTTTCAAATTATAATCAAATATAATTAATAGTTCCAAATATTTTTTCTTTCATTTGTCACAAATAATATAGATTTGTAACTTATCTATAAAATGTCAACAACTTTTATCTACACAATGTAATGTATTGAAATATATACATTAATAAAAATAGATTATTATCTAATTAAAGGATTTCTCTTCATAATTTTGTTTTATATATATAGCATTCAGAAAATTAGTTTATAATAAATAACAAACAAACCTGCCAAAAAATTCTTCAAGTAATTAAACAGAGAATGTCTTTAAAAAAATGAGTTATCTCCCTTTGTACAGAAATATGGTTTAACATAGTACTCTTACATTAGATATGGTCCAGAGTTATGGTCCATAACTCTGGACTAAATCATCAAAACGAAACAAAATTCGAACTTGATCTATAACTTGTCATGATAAAACTATATACCACATATCAAATCAATATCTTCAAGAACGAAGAAAAAAAGTGTGGAAAGCTGATTTACCGGACTGACGGATGGACAGACGGACAGATGAACAGACGGACAGACAGATGGAGTGCAAACCTAAAGTCCCCTTCGACTTCGTCGATAGGGGACTAATAAACTTTTTGTTTTCCGGGCTACCATTCAAAACCAATCCCTGGCTTCCTCTAGAAGGCAGAGTAAATATATGTTTTTGGAAAACACCTATGGTCTGCAAGGACACTATTGCCATCATATGCTTAGGTGATGCTAAGAGCCACACAATCAATAAGTATTATCTTTGACATCTAATTGTTCTCATAATTTAAATATTTTACTGGGACATTTAAACAGCAATGTTTGGTTTTTGATTACAAAATGCTCTAAATATACATGTACACCATTTAGGTCTAATAAATATTCAGATAGTCTTTCAAATTATGAATTACACAATTGTGATGTTAAGTCAAAAAGGTGCGAACCTTGGGTCATTTCCATAAGAAAGTCAGAAATAGTTTTAATTTGTATTATGCCTGAAAAATTGAGAAGCTTCTAAAGATATGCCACAATGCATATTTCTTATTATGAAGTCTTGTTTGATGAAGATAAGCAAATATATTCAGTATATATACTGAAGACTAGAAAGCTCTGAATATCAGTGATCTATTATATGCTAAGATGTCCAATATCTAACAATGGAATCTCTTTCTGGAAGGGCTCTAAACTTCATTGATCCATCAACACCACATGAGAAGAGATGATGTCCTGGACTAACAGCCACCTGCGTCACTCCTGATGCTGACCCCATGTTTCTGAAGAATGTACTTTTGCTATGTTCTCCTTGGAATGATAAAATCAATTGATGTGCATCTAATGCCCAAATCTAAAAATAAACAATACATATCAATGGTTACTTCAATGTACACATGTATGGAAGAGAACGAACCATTGTCCCTTTTTAAATCTAGAGACATTTCAGTTGTGCTGGTAAAGGATTAACACAGAACTCCCCCCCCCCCCCCCCCACTTTAAATAAGCAAACATCAATTCATCAATCAATAAATAAAATGAGATTTAGGATTTATGTCTACATTGTATATCTTAGTGTTCTGTATAAATGAAGTAGATGGGAATGTGTCATAAGGTGTACCTTGAGAAACCTTCATGAAACCGCATTTTAATTTTTTTCTTCTTTGCAGTAACAAAGAGAAGTATTACACAGAGTAAATTACATGAACAAATTCATTCCTCAAAACAAGAATTGGAAAATCAACTAAGAAACATTACATGATAACATTCACTAATTTAACTCTTGGGACATGTAAGCAACCAGATTGGTTCTTTCTGAAGTCAAACCAGTCCAATATCTGAGGTAGTTTTATAAAAGAGGGACGAAAGATACCAGAGGGACAGTCAAACTCATAGATCGAAAACAAACTGACAACGCCATGGCCAAAAATAAAAAGACAAACAGACAAATAATAGTACAGATGACACAACATAGAAAACTAAAGACTAAGCAACACGAACCCCACCAAAAACTGGGGGTGATCTCAGGTGCTCCGGAAGGGTAAGCAGATCCTGCTCCACATGTGGCACCCGTCGTGTTGCTTATGTTATTACAAATCCGGTAAATAGTCTAATTCGGTAAGTCACATTCGTGAAAAGGGAAGGGTATTGTAGTTATGACATAAGGAACATATCCGATATCATCTGTGAAATGGTTATTCCATAACGGTCAACCAACTCGTGATGGCGTCCGTAAAATTTACGAAGGGATGATTTCAACTTCACCATTTGGAACTCTTGGTTTAATAGCTTCCTTGTGAGCAGCAATCCTCTATCAAGGAAATCATGATAGGAAACACAAGCCTGGGAATATCGTATCAATTGGGAGATATATACTCCGTATGCAGGCGCTGCTGGAATGTTGCTACATAGAAATGGAAAGTTCACAATTGGGAAGCTAAAATCATCTCTTTTGTCGTAAAGTTTTGTTTTCAACCTACCCTCATTGTCAATTTCTAGATGTAAGTCAAGATATGAGGCAGACTTAACTGTATCTGTAGTATCCTTTATCTCTAGTTCGATGGGATAGATTTGTTCAATATAGTCACCAAATTTTGTATTATTTAGTGAGAGAACATCATCTATATAGCGGAACGTAGAGTGAGAGAACATCATCTATATAGCGGAAGGTATAAGTTATGATTGATATATATTCTTACTTTTAATTTTTTACATGTCTGTTACTAATTCTACAATCAAGAGGAACTTTTTTTTTGTGATGTGAAAACCTATTTAAGTTTCACTATTTCACTGAAATGTATAACTGGTTTTATCTGCATGGATGATAAAACAGCTTTAAAGTTCTGGTAGTCTATTCAGGACATTGTATAATCTCAGATAAATATATTTACTGCAAAAATACAGTGGATGCTTTGAACCATAAGTATTTCTTACAGACATATAGACAGATACACAATGCACCTGCAGTCTACATAGAAAAAATAACACACAATGCACCTGCAGTCTACATAGAAAAAATAACAAAGTACCGGTATGAACTCACAAATAACTCTTAAATTTGTTTAATTTTTTTTCTTTGCATGAGAGTTTTTAGTTTTAACAGTTTAGATTTTATAAATGAGAATGTTAATGACACTATCGATACCACAGAGTAAACAAATTTGTTTTTAAAGTCAGCTAGCTATAGGAAATTGTATTTGTTACATACTGTTCAGTAATGTTGTCTATAAACATGTTTATGTGACAAACAAATTTAAATCTTAAACCAATAACCTATAACAATTATTGCTTAAATCTTTGACCTTTACTGCTTTAAAAATAAAACTTTGGCTATTTTCAGCATTGACTAATGTATATATAGACATTGAAAAAAGTAACCATATAGGTCTCAATGGGGTTTCATATTAATTTCCAGTGTCAAATTCTAACAAATAGAAGATTTCCGCATTTCTAATGGCCTAATAAATTCTGTATGCATTAAAATCTATAACTGTGCTCTGACTAAATTCTCCAGTCAAGGAAAAATTCCAAAAAAACACCACACGATCCACTAACATGATATCAAGTTTTCATGCAAAGAAAGTAAATAAAGTCATCAAAGATACCAGGATTGAAATTGTGAACGCCAGACGCGCGTTTCGTCTACAAAAGACTCATCAGTCACGCTCAAGTAAAAAAAAGTTAAAAAGGCCAAATAAAGAACGAAGTTGTAACCAATCAATCAATTTGGGGTGAATGTAAAAATGAAGGGATAGCAAGAATTTTAAAACTCCAAAAAAGGGCAGCAAGATTAATTCTAGATGCAGATCCTTTATCCCCCTCAGCCCCCTTATTTAAAAAACTTGGGTGGATGACAGTTGACAATAGAATAAAATACCACAAATATTTACTTCTATATAAATGTATGCGTATGGAAGCACCAATGTACCTAGTTCAAAAGTTTAAACTGAAATCAGATAATAATCCTTACTCCCTGAGAGGCGTCACTCAAGGTAATCTGATAGTTCCTAAGCCAAAAGCTGAGCTATTTAAGAAATCTTTTGTTTATTCTGGATCAGTGTTATGGAATGGACTACCACACAAAATGCGTAAAGCTCAAAACACTTATACTTTTAAACAAAGTATCAAGAAGTACTTAACACAGTCCTGATAAGATTATATTTTCTACAATGTATTTGTATATTTCTTTTATTTATATTTGTATTTGATTTTTTGAGTACATGTACATCTTGAACAGCCTTATATCTTATCATGTTAGTAATATTACATTGAACTAATTGACTGTAAATTAACTTTGTGTAAATATCTGTTTTTGATTGTATTGTAATTTGTATGTGAGGGCCTCAGGGAAGATTAGTTTATTGTAACTAACTGAGTTTACCCTCTTTAAATAAAGAATTTATTATTATTATTATTATAAACCAGAACTACTCTGGCGCTGAAGAACTTGTTCACATTAGACAGGTGTTCCATTTTTACAGGTTAAATATGATCTTCTGATAAATCTGGGTCTACATCTGTCATAGTCTTTACAACTCCTGTTTAGTATTAACTTTGAAAAAAAACCAAATTGGACTTGCAAAAAAATGATGGAAGCCATTTATATTTTGCTTGATAATATTCATGTTCGTTCAGTAGATAAAGTACACTGAGGGATACTAACTGTGCACCTCTTATTGCAGATTTATTTCTTAACTGTTTATATGAATCCAAATTTATGGCAAAGCTTCATATAGACAGCACTTTATAGATATTTTCAACAATTATACAAGCTGATATCAAGATGATATATTCTCCGTAAACAATCAAGACTTTTCTAAATAAACAAGAGGCTCTCAAGAGCCTGAATCGCTCACCTGTATTTTCAGAGGAGAAGATTTTTAAATGTTAGCAAACTTGATGAACAATTGTGTAAAATTGTCTTTAAAGGGCAATAACTCCTTAAGGGGTCAATTGACAGTTTTGGTCATATTCACTTTTTTGTAGATCTTACTTTGCTGAACATTATTGCTGCTTACATTTTATATATATCATAATATTCAAAATAATAACAAAAAACTGCAAAATTTTGTTAAAACCACCAATTCGGCGGCAGCAACCCAACAATGGGTTGTTCCAATAGTCTGATAATTTCAGGGCCCATAGATCTTGACCAATTAAACAATTTTACCCCATGTCACATTTGCTCTAAAAGATTTAGTTTTTGAGATATAAGCCAAAAACTTCATTTGACCCCTATGTTCTATTTTTAGCCATGGCGGCCATGTTTGTCGATGGATCAAAACTTCGGATACAATTTATAAACTAGATACCCTAAGGAACATTTAGTTAAAGTTTGAAGGTATTTGGCCCAGTAGTTTCAGAGGAGAAGATTTTTGAAATAGTTTACGACGACAGACATCGACGACAGACGACGGATGACGATGGACGCCAAGTGATGGCATAAGCTCACATGGGGTCCAAAGGGCCCCTCTGAGCTAAAAATGAAATAAATCCATCTGAACTCAATTCTTATTCAATCTAACTTTAATGGTGACCGACATCCTTTTTTAACCTTGATATTAGAATTTCACAAGGTAATTTCCATACCAAATTTATAATAAATGTGGCAACCTGTCCTTCATTGATCGTGAAGGTTTGTAGGCTTTATCTTATGACATGTACATTTCTCTGTTGGTTTTATATTAATTTTTTTCCTTACAAATATAGAGATTTACTGAGGAAGTCTGATTGCAGGAATTTAATCAAAAGTGGTTTTAGTATCCATCTTTTTATGGTAATGATGCTAATGAAGCTAAAAAAAATTAAAAATGTCCTTCAAATGTGTCTCCTTGACTTAATCGACATACTAATAGGATTATAATTATACTGCTGGTCACTGTCAGGTATATTTGGGATGAATAAAGATTTGCTTATTTATGGTTTGAAGCAAAAATTAAATATTTCTTTCATTTTTCTGTCTAGTTTGCTGTTGGTATTGCAAGAGATCAAGTTTTCCTGTACTAATCAGCAGGTTAAATCCTTTGAGATTGTCTTCAGTAACTGAGAGCATTGTTTAATACAGTATAACTTGTTGTTCATTTGGAAATAAGTTTCCATACCATTATTTTAAAGTTGAGTGCTTTTCACGTACCAGTATTTATGTTATTTTGTGTAAGGTTTGTAAATCTCATTGAAATTTAAAAAAAAGGAGAAGGTTGAGATCTTAAATAACAAGTTTGACCCCGCTACATTTCATGGGCCTGTCACAAGTCAGTAATAGTAGAATGTAATATCTTTATATTTTCTATTATTTGGAGAATTGAGTATTAATGGAAGATCTTTAATTGTATCTCTTTAACTTAATCTATAGAC